CATGATTGAAGCATGTGTACAACCTGCAACTGTGTAGAAAGTGAAAGGACAAAAAGGGTGTGGTCTAACACTAGAAGACTGGGAAAATGCAGCAAGGCCTATTTGTTCAGGTTCTTCTTGACCTCTCTGTGCATCATTCCTTCCTCCTGGGCATGGGACAGGGCCCCTCCTGAGATGTGGCTCTTATGACCTACAATCAGCTAAGGTAGGTCAGAGAATTTCCCGCTTCAAGGAGAAAAAGGAGCAGGTGAAAGGAGGGCAGGAGAAGTTCATAGAGTATTATGGGCCAGGCACTGTGGATGAAAACCAATATATAAATATCATGATACCACAAGTAGTTATACTTCTTAAGTGTTAAGGAACAGTAAACAAATTTCAGAGAAAGGAAAAAGAGAAATGTTTCCTAGTAGCAGCCTCTTTCCACAAATTTCACTATTGGTAAAGATGTAGGGGAATGAGTTTTGGACTGAGAGGCACCTGGGTTCCAGTCCTGCTTCTGCCATCAAACCTTTGGTAAGCCATTCACCTTTACAGAAACAGAGGCCTGCAGAAGTACAGGAGAAGATAGTGGTAGAAAGAAGTTAAGTTTATTTTGTAGCTACCAATGAGTAAGGAAGAGCATGAATAAGATTTAGCTTTATACACAAGAAAGGTTATAAATTTTTTTAATATGTATTTTTCATTTTAGGAACACTGGAAAGAGTTAAGTTTATTTTGTAGCTACCAATGAGTAAGGAAGAGCATGAATAAGATTTAGCTTTATATACAAGAAAGGTTATAAATTTTTTTAATATGTATTTTTCATTTTAGGAACACTGGAAAGGGAAAAAAAGGAGGTTCTGGGATCCAGGTCCCTAAAGTAGCCCGAGAGGTGCAATTGTGAGTGGCCTCTGTGGAGCTCCCTTGAGATAATCTAGGCTTGGATCTTCCAAGGAAATAGCTTTTCTCTCAGAGGATCATTCCTCAGACCCTGCAGCAAGGCATCACAGATTATACAAAGCTAAACATTCCGTTGAATCTTCTTCTAGAGTGGCTAGACTTGTGGATCAGGAAAGTGCTCTATTTACAATTACAGTTTTATTATAAAGGACACAGACCAGTACTAGCCAAATGAAGAGACACATAGGGCAAGGTTTGGGAGGGTCCTGAACACACAGCTTCTGTGCCTTCTCCCAGTGAAATTAAGGCCCCTCACCTTCCTGGCACATCAGTGTGTTCAAAAGTTCCATTGAGCTGTGCTGTCCAGAGTTTTTATTGGGGTTTCACTATGTAGACATGCTTGATTGAATCATTGGCCACAGAGCTGAGCTCAATCTCTACCCTCTTCCCCTCCTTGGAGGATAGGCTGATATCACATGGCTCAAAGCCTCAACCCTCTAATTACTTGGTTGGACTTTCTGGCATGACTGGTCCCCATCCTGAAGCTCTGTGGGTTCACCATGTCATGTCATTAGCATAAACTCAGGTGTGATCCAAGAAGCTCCTGAATAACAAAGATACTTCCATCACTTGGGAAATTCCAAGGATTTTAGAAGCTCTGTGTCAGGAACTGGGACAAATATCAGACAATTCATTATTATGTAACAGGTGTCTATTTAGATCTTTTGCCCTTTTGAAAATTGGGTTAATTTCTTATTGTTGAGTTTTAAGAGTTTTTTGTATATTTTTGATACAAGTCCTTTATGTGTTTTGCAGATATTTTCCCTAAGTCTGTGGCTTGTCTTTTCATTCTCTTAATAGTGTCTTTTGCAGAGCAAAAATTTAGTCTGACTTAATTTTTTAAAAAATTAAGTCTGACTTAATTTTTCTTTCATGGATCATGTTTTTGGTATTGTTATATAAAAGCTCATTGCCAAACCAAAGTCACCTAGATTTTCTCCTGCATTTTCTAGAAGTTTTAGAGTTTTGCATTTTACATTTAGATCTGTGATCCATTTTGAGTTAATTTTTGTGGAGGGTATAAGATCTGTATCTAGGTTAATTTTTTTGCACATGGACATCCAGTTGCTCCAACATCATTTGTTGAAAAGACTTTTTTCTCCACTGCATTGCCTTTGCTCCTTTGTCAAAGAGCAGTTGATTGTATTTGTGTGGGTCTTTGTAAGGGCTTTCTATTCTGTTCCATTGATCAGTATGTCCTTTCTTTCACCAGTACCATTCTGTCTTGATTTCTATAACTTTATATAGTAAGTCTTGAAATTATTGGGTACTGTGAGTGTTGCAACTTTGCTTTTCAGTATTGTGTTGGCTATTCTAGGTCTTTGCCTTCCCATATGAATTTTAGAACTGTTTGTTGATATCTACACAATAACTTGCTGGGATTTTGATTGTGATTGCATTGACTCTAGGTAAAGTTGGGAAGAATTTACATCTTAAAAACATTATCTTCTAATCCATGTACTTGGAATATCTCTCCATTATTTAGATCTTTGATTGTTTAGAGTTTTATAGTTTTTGCATATAGACCCAGTACATATTTTGTTAGATTTATATCAAACTATTGAATTGGGGGAGTATTATAAATGGTGTTATTTTTAAAATTTCAAATTCTTTTGTATATTTACCTTGTGTCCTGAAATCTTGCTATACTTGCATATTAGTTTGAGGTTTTTTGTTGATTCTTTGGGAATTTCCATATAGGAAATCATGTCATCTGCAAACAGTGACAATATTATTTCTTCCTTCCCAATATGTATACCTTTTATTTCTTTTTCTTGTCTTATTGAATTAGCTAGGACTTCCAGTATGATGTTGAATAGTAGTGACAGGGGACATGCCTTGGTCCTGATCTAAGTGTGATGTCAGCTGTAAGTTCATTTTAGGTGTTCCTTATCAAGTTGAGGTAGTTCCTCTTTCTAGTTTGTTGAGAGTGTTTTAAATCATGAATGGGTGCTGGGTTTTGTCAGATGCTTTTTATGCAGCAATTGATATGACCATATGATTTCTCTTCTTTAGCCCGTTCATGTAGTGGATTACATTGATTTTCAAATTTGAACCAGCATTGTATACTTGGAGTAAATCCCACTTTGTTGTGGTGTATAATTCTTTTTATACATTGTTGGATTCAATTTGTTAATGTTTTGTTGAGGATTTTTGCATCTTTGTTCATGAGAAATATCGGTCTGAAGTTTTCCTTTCTTGTAATGCCTATATCTGGTTTTGGTTTTAAGCTAATGCTGGCCTCATAAAATGAATTAAGAAGTGCTCCCTTTGCTTCTAATTTCTGGAAGAGATTGTGGGGAATGGGTATAATTTTTTCTTTAAATGTTTGGTAGAAATCACCAGTGAAGCCATCTGGTCCTGGTACTTTCTTTTTTGGAAGATTATTACTTATCGTTCAATTTGTCTAATAAATATAGGCCTACTTAGATTTTCTGTCTCCTTGTGTGAGTTGGTAGTTTTTGTCTAAATTAAAGGAGTTAGTCCATTTCATTCAAGTTAATCAAATTTGTGGGCATAGAGTTGTTGAAAGTATTCCTTTATTACCCTTTTAATGTCATGAGTTGGTAGTTTTTGTCTAAATTAAAGGAGTTAGTCCATTTCATTCAAGTTAATCAAATTTGTTGGCATAGAGTTGTTGAAAGTATTCCTTTATTACCCTTTTAATGTCATGGGATCAGTGGTGATGACCTCTCTTTTATGAATGATATTAGTAATTTGTGCATTTTTTCTTGGTTTGTCTGGCTAGAGGTTTATCAATTTTATTAATCATTTGAAGAACCAGCTTTTGGTTTCATTGATTCCCCCCACCCCCCTTGCCCCCCCATTGTTTTCTGGTTGTAACAGCCTGTTTTTGATGTCCTACGTATATTGGATGGTTGACTTGGCTGGGTTTTCCTGTCATCCTGTATTTCACCTGCTGTGGTTTCTGTTCTGAGCTAAAGGGACAAATTTATGACCTGTGGATTATGCTAGACTCAGTGGTAGATGGTAGAGATGTTGTAATTGCCCTTCAGTCTCTTCATTGCTGTTTCTCTTTTTCATCACTTTTCTCTATTAGCACAGTTTCACAAGCAAATCATATTGTATCTTTCTTTGTAGCATTCTTTAAAATGTTCATTTAGGTGACTCCTTAGTGTCACTTATTCCTGTGATTCTACCAGTGATTGATCCGGAGAGGAATATCAGGGAAGTTGGCTTCTCTTCCTCAATAGGTTTTATTTATTTATTTTTTTTGTCTTTTTTCGTGTCCGGCAACGGATTGCAACCCTCAGTGTTGCGCCCGTACCGGACCGGGACCGGCAACGGGATCGCAACCCTTGGCTCTGCGTCCGCACCTCGCTCAGCCAGTGAGCGGGAACCGGTCTGTATGTGGGATCCGAACCCTCGGCGGGAGCGCCGCCACGCTCCCAAGCGGCGCACTGTAGCAGTGCGCCACCGGGCCGGCCCCTCAATAGGTTTTAAATCAGAATTTTAATGAGGAACCTTAGAAGTTATCTGGCTATTGGCAGGGGGAAGCTTGTGATTCCTAGTCCTGTGTTTTTGCCATCTTGGTGCTTATTTGTTTCTTTTGACTTTTTATCCTTTGATACTGCATCTTTCCCAACTCTAATCTGAAAAGTCATTGCTCCTCATTTCCTTTATGGGAATGTTGCAATTTTAAGATATATAAAACATTGAGTTTCTTAAACAAAGTAAAACTTTACTTTTCTTAAAGTAAAGATTTTTATTATAAAAAACTTTTCTGGGGTGATAATACAGAGAGTTGCTAAAAATAACAAGTAAGAAAATACTTCTAAATGATTCGATTATTTTAGTTATTAAAGTCTTAAGTTGAGGTGAGAATAAAAGACCCATTTAGTTATCAGAGGGTGGCTTTGGAATATTATTTTGAAAAAGATTATGCTAAAATAAATAAGCCTTGGACACTCATTAAATTAATTAAACTTAATTAAAACTTGATTTCTAACCTTTGGCATTAACCAAGATGAATGTGATTTCTTTTAATGAGCCAGCACTTACAATATGTAGTTTATTTTGGCTGTGTGCTTTTGTTTCAGACAGAACCAAGTTGTATTATTAGATACACTGGAACAAGAGATTTCAAAATTTAAAGAATGCCATTCTATGTTGGATATTAATGCTTTGGTAAGTATCATTTAGCTGATGTAATTTAATGATGTCTTGTTTTAGGGATAGGTAGATTTATCTTGTAAATGTATCTTATCATACTTGTAAATGTTTAGGATCCTATCATCCAACTATTAAAGTTTAGAATTTGTCTTTTTAACCGGAAATCTTGATTCACTTTGCTAGGACTTCCATTGTCTTGAATTGTTATCTTTCAGATGTTGAACTTGTAATAGGAAATTGAATTTATTTATGAGCCTGGAATAGGTCTGCTCATAATTAAATACTTAGAAGTGAGAACTAAAAGTAAGGAACTTTGTGGCACTATTTTTCCCCTTACAGAAAGCGTGTCTCTCTTTGAATATCAATTACAAGGTTCCTTAAATTAGCATTTTATTTAATTATATGGCATATTTGTAATGCCATAATTAATTAATGCCATGGGCTGAAATGGACACTTTGAAAATGATCAATTATATCTTTCAGTGCAAATAGTTGAATAGTTGAATTTCATCAGAAGCTCAGTAGCTTTTTTTTTTTAAAAAAAGATGACCGGTAAGGGGATCTTAACCCTTGGGTTGGTGTTGTCAGCACCACGCTCAGCCAGTGAGCGAACCGGCCATCCCTATGTGGGATCTGGACCCGGGGCCTTGGTGTTATCAGCACCGCACTCTCCCGAGTGAGCCACGGGCCGGCCCGCTCAATAGCTTTTTGATGAGAGGAACTGATATTCTTTAAGAAATGGAATTATCAAAAATTAGGAACTTGTTGCCAAGTTCCTTTTCTCCTTGAACATTAAAAATAGCTTGGTTTGCATGATTTTGTAGCCATTCATACATACATCAAAAACAGACTTTTCATTAGGTAAAGGTGGTTTACTAATGTTTTCTTTTTATAACAACCAAAAGCAAAGTCCGCATTCTCTAACATTAGACAGAAGCTCATGATAGTAAATCCAAAGTCTTCTGCCCAGAAGACTTCTTATGAAGGAGGTTTTGTGTTCCCCACTGAGTTCATGTTGCAACATAATGGATATTTCTTGAATGAATGAATATCAAATGAATGAACCAGGCAGAATGTAATACTATTGTTTCAGTCTGAAGGGGCAGACTGAGTCTTCCTCTTTTTTCTTCTCTTAGCCCAAGAGTGGTTTTGATTATCATCTAGGAACTGAAAACTGGAAGGCCCAGAGAGATTTAGGGTCTGTAAGCTCTAGAGCTCATCAGACTATGGCTTTACTTGCAGCTACATTAAGGTTTTGAATCTCTACTGACACTTCTCTCATTTCTTCTCCTTCTGTTATCTTGTCTGAGAATGAGATGCTTTTTTCCTTCTCTCCCACCTATCTGGGTCTTCTTCATCTGCCTATATTCTTCTGATATGAGACTTCACTTTAGGCTATTCAGGCTGGCTGAGATGTAAAGTTTGCTCTTATAACTCCATAGGAAGGAAAGTGTCCTCACAGAGGCACAGAGGTTGTTCTGCTTGGTCTGACTTCAGAAGCCCTAGAAACAGGATTAAATCTGTCCACAGTCCTCTCAGGGCTCTCTGGCCACAGCTTGGGTTTTCCTGCATGGGCAGACACTTCACTTAAATTGTCATATCTACCCTGGCTTGGTCTCTTGTAAAGGTGGTAGAGAGTATTTTACTTTCCTTAAATAAAACTGATTACATTATTGGATAGTCTTATTAAAATTTTAGGACTATATTGTGTGTTTTTAAACCAAAATGTTCTCTGTACCCAATTTACTATATATGTCTATTTTATGGTTTTCGTCAATCTGAATCACATGTTTTAAAAAGCCTGCTAATGGTTTAAATGAAATTTATATTTTGGAATTAAAATGTGGAGAGAATTAAGGCTCTAAAAAATTTGACCAATTTAGAAAGAATGAACTGTAATTTAGGCATTGAATTATGTATTTATTTTGATATTTCATCCTGTTTTAACATTTCATTTACTTTTCCATGTTAAGTTCACTGAAGCTAAACACTATCATGCCAAGTTGGTGAATATAAGAAAAGAGATGCTGATGCTTCATGAAAAGACATCAAAGTTAAAAGTGAGTTGAAAATTCTTTCACATTCTTTACAAAAGTAGAAGTTTAATTGCTTTCCTGCATTAATCATTTTTTGACTTTTTATACCTCCATATACAATAATATACTTAATTGGTTGTACATTTTCTTATAAAAAGTGTCTTTTTTTGAATCCCACTCTGAGCTTCTTTACTAATAGCTAGACTGAAAGACTCATATTGTCTGGTTACATACCTGCGATTCTCATTTAATAAGAGTTTGGAATAACCAAATTTTTTTTGAATCAAAGGGACCTTAAATTACCCAGGAAAAATTTAAAAGTTAAATATTAAATTTATTAATACATATTGATTACCTCAAATCAAAGCACTATTACTTTTAAATTAGGCCATGACCTACAAGTCTTGACTGCTCTCTTGCTTTAAAAATTTTTTGACACAGAAAAGAGCACTGAAACTGCAGCAGAAGAGGCAGAAAGAAGAGTTGGAAAGGGAGCAGCAACGAGAGAAGGAATTTGAAAGAGAAAAGCAGTTAACTGCCAAACCAGCTAAAAGGACATGAAAAGTTGTGTTCACGTGTGTTTCCTTCCCCTATTCCATATTCTTTGGATTTAAGACGACTGAAGTATAGACTGAAAATAAGATAGTGCCTTATACCATTGTGTTATGTTTTGAAATTCTTATCCCAGGATTGCTATTTCTCCATATCTTCATTTCAGCCATTCAAAAAGTCTTTCTAAGTAATAAACATAATGTCATTTCGTTTTGATATTTGTATATAATTTTTCAACTTTTGTTTTGCTTAATTTTAAAATTCATTATTTTGGCCTTGAATTATTTATAAACTGGAAAACAGTTTGATTGTTATAAAAGTCTAGACTCTAAGTGCTAAAGAATTAGTATGAATTTTTTAACTTCTTAATGAATGTAGATTTAAGTTTCAGTTTCTTTTTTGAAATGACTTGCCTTTCTGGTAATACAATGCTGGTTTTTTGTAATTGCTTTTTCTTTGCTTAGTTAAGAAGAAATGCCAACTGTTTAGTCACATATGTGTGGCTTGTAAGCGAAGAAATAATGGAAAAGTGTGTACACAGGAAATCATGGCACTTTAGACATATGATAGGTGAGCAAGATGCCAGATAGATTCTACTAACCGTGTATACTCTGCCTCTTAGTGGTGTCGTTGCTTATGTAGCTTTTGGGTTTAAAGCAGATTACATCTATTTCTGAAGTTTGGTGAGGGTGGTGAAGCTATCACATATTCAGATGTGCTTATATATTTATAATACTTAATAGCAGTCCTCACACACTGAGATACCATTTCTGTGCTTTTAAAACATTCTTAAAGTAGAATGNGAGTGAGCCACGGGCCGGCCCGCTCAATAGCTTTTTGATGAGAGGAACTGATATTCTTTAAGAAATGGAATTATCAAAAATTAGGAACTTGTTGCCAAGTTCCTTTTCTCCTTGAACATTAAAAATAGCTTGGTTTGCATGATTTTGTAGCCATTCATACATACATCAAAAACAGACTTTTCATTAGGTAAAGGTGGTTTACTAATGTTTTCTTTTTATAACAACCAAAAGCAAAGTCCGCATTCTCTAACATTAGACAGAAGCTCATGATAGTAAATCCAAAGTCTTCTGCCCAGAAGACTTCTTATGAAGGAGGTTTTGTGTTCCCCACTGAGTTCATGTTGCAACATAATGGATATTTCTTGAATGAATGAATATCAAATGAATGAACCAGGCAGAATGTAATACTATTGTTTCAGTCTGAAGGGGCAGACTGAGTCTTCCTCTTTTTTCTTCTCTTAGCCCAAGAGTGGTTTTGATTATCATCTAGGAACTGAAAACTGGAAGGCCCAGAGAGATTTAGGGTCTGTAAGCTCTAGAGCTCATCAGACTATGGCTTTACTTGCAGCTACATTAAGGTTTTGAATCTCTACTGACACTTCTCTCATTTCTTCTCCTTCTGTTATCTTGTCTGAGAATGAGATGCTTTTTTCCTTCTCTCCCACCTATCTGGGTCTTCTTCATCTGCCTATATTCTTCTGATATGAGACTTCACTTTAGGCTATTCAGGCTGGCTGAGATGTAAAGTTTGCTCTTATAACTCCATAGGAAGGAAAGTGTCCTCACAGAGGCACAGAGGTTGTTCTGCTTGGTCTGACTTCAGAAGCCCTAGAAACAGGATTAAATCTGTCCACAGTCCTCTCAGGGCTCTCTGGCCACAGCTTGGGTTTTCCTGCATGGGCAGACACTTCACTTAAATTGTCATATCTACCCTGGCTTGGTCTCTTGTAAAGGTGGTAGAGAGTATTTTACTTTCCTTAAATAAAACTGATTACATTATTGGATAGTCTTATTAAAATTTTAGGACTATATTGTGTGTTTTTAAACCAAAATGTTCTCTGTACCCAATTTACTATATATGTCTATTTTATGGTTTTCGTCAATCTGAATCACATGTTTTAAAAAGCCTGCTAATGGTTTAAATGAAATTTATATTTTGGAATTAAAATGTGGAGAGAATTAAGGCTCTAAAAAATTTGACCAATTTAGAAAGAATGAACTGTAATTTAGGCATTGAATTATGTATTTATTTTGATATTTCATCCTGTTTTAACATTTCATTTACTTTTCCATGTTAAGTTCACTGAAGCTAAACACTATCATGCCAAGTTGGTGAATATAAGAAAAGAGATGCTGATGCTTCATGAAAAGACATCAAAGTTAAAAGTGAGTTGAAAATTCTTTCACATTCTTTACAAAAGTAGAAGTTTAATTGCTTTCCTGCATTAATCATTTTTTGACTTTTTATACCTCCATATACAATAATATACTTAATTGGTTGTACATTTTCTTATAAAAAGTGTCTTTTTTTGAATCCCACTCTGAGCTTCTTTACTAATAGCTAGACTGAAAGACTCATATTGTCTGGTTACATACCTGCGATTCTCATTTAATAAGAGTTTGGAATAACCAAATTTTTTTTGAATCAAAGGGACCTTAAATTACCCAGGAAAAATTTAAAAGTTAAATATTAAATTTATTAATACATATTGATTACCTCAAATCAAAGCACTATTACTTTTAAATTAGGCCATGACCTACAAGTCTTGACTGCTCTCTTGCTTTAAAAATTTTTTGACACAGAAAAGAGCACTGAAACTGCAGCAGAAGAGGCAGAAAGAAGAGTTGGAAAGGGAGCAGCAACGAGAGAAGGAATTTGAAAGAGAAAAGCAGTTAACTGCCAAACCAGCTAAAAGGACATGAAAAGTTGTGTTCACGTGTGTTTCCTTCCCCTATTCCATATTCTTTGGATTTAAGACGACTGAAGTATAGACTGAAAATAAGATAGTGCCTTATACCATTGTGTTATGTTTTGAAATTCTTATCCCAGGATTGCTATTTCTCCATATCTTCATTTCAGCCATTCAAAAAGTCTTTCTAAGTAATAAACATAATGTCATTTCGTTTTGATATTTGTATATAATTTTTCAACTTTTGTTTTGCTTAATTTTAAAATTCATTATTTTGGCCTTGAATTATTTATAAACTGGAAAACAGTTTGATTGTTATAAGTCTAGACTCTAAGTGCTAAAGAATTAGTATGAATTTTTTAACTTCTTAATGAATGTAGATTTAAGTTTCAGTTTTAAAATTCATTATTTTGGCCTTGAATTATTTATAAACTGGAAAACAGTTTGATTGTTATAAAAGTCTAGACTCTAAGTGCTAAAGAATTAGTATGAATTTTTTAACTTCTTAATGAATGTAGATTTAAGTTTCAGTTTTTTTTTTGAAATGACTTGCCTTTCTGGTAATACAATGCTGGTTTTTTGTAATTGCTTTTTCTTTGCTTAGTTAAGAAGAAATGCCAACTGTTTAGTCACATATGTGTGGCTTGTAAGCGAAGAAATAATGGAAAAGTGTGTACACAGGAAATCATGGCACTTTAGACATATGATAGGTGAGCAAGATGCCAGATAGATTCTACTAACCGTGTATACTCTGCCTCTTAGTGGTGTCGTTGCTTATGTAGCTTTTGGGTTTAAAGCAGATTACATCTATTTCTGAAGTTTGGTGAGGGTGGTGAAGCTATCACATATTCAGATGTGCTTATATATTTATAATACTTAATAGCAGTCCTCACACACTGAGATACCATTTCTGTGCTTTTAAAACATTCTTAAAGTAGAATGATACATACCAACTATCCACTTTACAGATATTGACAGTTGTGGTGGAAAATTAGTAAATAGTTTCATAAAAGAGACAGTATGAAACATTAGTGTTCTCTAGAATTTTTTCTTGATATTATATGTAAGAACTTATTATATGAGGGAAATAATGTTTCATTGTTTAAAATCAAGAGTGTTTTATTCACTGTTTTAGTATTATTTAATATCCAACTGGTCTCCAATCTCTGTTACGTAGGGACTGTACAGAACTTGTAAAGGTATATGATTAGAATGTGTACACATCTTTTATAATCTACATGACATTTTTGGTAAGCTGGAATCACTACCTCTGATCACATATCAGGCTAATGATGGAGAAAGCATTGATTGAAGTTGAATGTTAAGAACCAGTCTGCGTAAGGGTTAGATTGTTTGTAAGAGCCTTTATCTTTAATGAATGAATTATAGCCTCACAATTCACTTGATTTTGACTTTGTAATTAAGAATGTAGATGTATTTTATTTGAAAAAGGCTGTTACCTTCAAACACTTACTAAAACTGCTTAGGGCAGGACTCATTAGGGCTTGCAGGACAATGTCACCTAAATTGCTGAATGTACTCGTTTATAATAGGATATCTGACAAAGGCTGTGCGTTGTTTCTCAGAGTGGCTTTGGATCAACTGTAGTGGTTGTTTAAAGTGCTGGTTTCTAGATACCACTCTCAATCTACTGAAGCAAGTCTGTTTGTTTTGCTTTGTTTTTTATTTTCAAAGTTTCCTCCAGTGATTCTGATGCACCTTAAAATTTGAGAACCACTGGTCTAGTGATGTAGTTCAGGATTTCCCACCCTAGGCTGCATATCATTATCACCTGGGAACTTTGAAAAAATACAGACATTCTGGATTCTTACTCATTAGTTCTGATGTGGAGCCCATGTATTTTTAAAATAGCTCCCCAGATAATTCTGATGTAAGGAACCACTGGTATAGACTATTTAGTGATTTATATTTATAAGCAATGAAACAGTTTAGAAGCTAACCAGTAACTCTCGGGATTTAGTTTATGAAGTATATTCTGAATTGCTGATTTTGATATGTAGTTAGATTTAAGACTGACCCTTAGCAGGCAGGAAATATAGAATTCTGGTTAGTTAATTGAGCTTTTGTAATCTGTATTAAAATAAGTTATGTTTCTCAAATGAATGACAAAGCACATACACTTTCAGAATTGTATTAAGTTTTAAAAGCTATGAAAAATGTCAGAATGAATATATATTAGCATCCTATTTTAAGATCAATTGTAAATCAGAAGTACTATTATCTTGGTAATTAAAATCTAAAACTTTAGCTGTCCTTTAGTAACATAGAAACATATCTTACTGAGTAAATCTGAATGGAACCCTTGTAATTAGTTTTGCTGTATTTTTGTACAAAATAGTGAATTGGTACTTGGGAGGCTTCTGTTTTGGGGTTGAAAAAATTGCCTTTAATTTGAAACTATATCACATATGTACTGTATTGAAATGATGAGAGTTCATTTTATGTTTATTGTGCAGTAAGTACCATGTAAATATGAAGGCATCGAGTGTAATATAGATTGTGTCAGCAGTGATTTTTTGGGTGGGTACAGTTTATAAATATACCAATTTTAAACCCTCATATATTTGTCTGATTTTGAGCTTGTAAAATGAGGACTACTTTTTACCTATTTAATAAAAAAAAGTCTCTGAGTTGGTTGATGTCCTTTATTAAGCAACATTGTATACATAGCATTGTATATACTTCCTTTTATGTACTTTATTTCAAACATTCTCTTCTTTTCCTCTCTTCTGTTGTCTTTCCCTTAATGTTCTCCATATGTTGTGTCACAAA